AGAGAGAGCTGAGTAATCAGGACAGAGAGGAGATGCCTGAGAAAATGAGAGTTAAACTGAGCCCAGCAGGGTGAAGGGGGATCACCTGGGATTGGAGAGGAGCAGGAGAGCGTGGGTTCAAGCAGAGAGTGAAGCATTAAGAGACGGGATCAGGGAGATGGGCAGGGTGAGGTCACGGGGCCTGAAAGATCAATTCTCTTCTGTGTCCTCAAAACAGAGCACAACCAGGGGATGTGAGCAAGGGAGCTGGGAGGGACATCATCTGGTGTGAGTTTCCAGAAGGGAACTCTGGCTGCACAGATGGATGGGAGAAGGGAAAGGGAAGCAAGGATGGACAAGCCTGAGGGAGTGCGGGCAAGGCGGCAGTGTGGAATGGACCTGTGGCAGGCTGGGGGATAAGCGGGTCTGCCAGATATGAGACGCTGTGGAGGCCCAAGAGTAGTCTCAGGAGAAGAGATGAAGGGCAGAAGGGAGAAGAGGGTTTCCAGGACAGCTCTGAGCTTTCTCAGGCTTGGTGCTGCCATAGACTGAGACAGGAGGAGCTTGCTTGGAGGGATCAGAGGTTTGAGGGGCCAAGGACAGACGGCTACTCAGGTTTGGAGCCTTAGAGGAGAGATCTGGCCTAGAAATACAAATGTGAAAGTCGTGTCAGCACATGGGACACAAACCCAGGTGAAGGAGGTGGGATGAACCCCAATTCTCATTCAGGCCTCCCTGCTACGCAGCACCTCCTTCCCTTCCCAAATCACAACTGCTGCACCTTATGCATCCTAATTCCTTTCTCGAAGTCAGCTTTCATGGTAGACCATCAGCAGACTGAGGGCAAGAACTAGATGTTTCCCTTGCTACAAACATCTCTAACATCATACCTGGCGTGGGTTCTGCCCACAGTACACATTTGCTGAATGAGTGAACAACACCACGAGTCTACTGGATATGAGGGGCAGCTGAAACAGAGATCCCTGTGTCTTCATGCTTCCACACGGCTAAAACGGGAGGAGAGTAGGATGCACATTCTCAGGGTCTGGCTTACAATGACTCCCTCTGCTGGTCCTTGCCCTGAGCCGCCAGGGGAATGCAGCTACTCCCAATCCTTCACCATAAAGAGTGCAACTGTTCATGGAAATGAAACCAAGACACACATCCCGGCCCTGATTTCCCCTGAAAATCAGTGTCGGTGTGGATGAGTGACATGTAAGGAATGAGAAGATATAGCTTTCAACCGTTCCCCAGTAATGTGCTTGCTCATGCCAATCAGTATTGAAAAGTTCAGAAAAAAAGATAAGAAAACAGTTTAAATTGGGCCTTGACGTTTACATTTATTTTCACACAGATAAAACTTAGGGTCGACTATGATTTTGGTGATGCTTCCTCCCCAAACTCTATACTTCAGAACGACTCTTTCTGCCATTGCCAAAGCGGTCTTCTCCAAAATTTAGACCCTTTCCTGGCCCTCAGGAAACAGAAAGAATAGAATTGTGAGGAGAAAGTGAAAATGAGTTGTTCAATTTTTACACTTTAAATATGTCTGCCTGGACCCCAGACGACTTAGACATCAAATATCAATCTACATAGATTCTAAATCTTAGCACTGGCCTTCAGGTTTGACCAGATGTCCTAAACTCTGACCCTGGGGCGTGACTAGGTTGGGGGTGGGGGGGCGCATGATTCTGCCTGGCTGTGGAATGGCTCCAGCCCTGAAGTTGCCCACGGACCCTCAACTCAACCTGGCTTCAATCTTCTTATGACTTTTGTCATTCCCTTCTTGTGGTGTTGACTATGTGTCTCTCTGTCTTTTCTCTATATTAATTTCTAATCTAAGCTCAACCAGGAGTATTCTATAGTCATGCTGGTGCCTAAGCATGCTTCCTCTGCCTTTTTTTTTCTCCTTGGAATTTTTGCCGATTTTTATGCATCAACCTGACTGTGCCACGGGGTACCCGGATATTTGGTTAAACATTATCCTGGGTGTGTCTGTGAGAGCATTTCTGGATGAGATTAATATTGGAACTGGCAGCCTGAGTAAAGCAGATTGCCCCCCTCAAAGTGGGTGGATCTCATCCAATGCACTCAAGGCCTGAATAGAACCAAAGGAGATAAAATGGAGAATTTGCTCTCTCTGCCTCTCTTTGAGCAGACATCAGTCTTCTGCCTTCTCAGACCTGGACTAGAACTTTCACCACTGACTCTCTCAGGTCTCCAGCTGACCAACTGCAGATGTTAGGAATTCTCAGCCTCCATCATCACTTGAGCTCATTCCTCATAAGAAATCTTGTACATACACACACACACACACACACACACACACACACCCATCGGGTCTGTTTCTCTGGAGAACTCTAACACAGGATTCGAGCACAAAGACAACTGTTAGAACTATTTGTCTTTCCTAGGGAGCTTATAACATCAAGTCTTTTTTTCTAAAATGTTCTAAAATTTGTTTTCTTAAAAGTGTGGGTCAACTGTACTCTGTACTCCTCTCCCTGGATAATATCAACTCTCAGAAAATAAGGTCACTTTCTCAGATTCTTCTCACTTCTATCTCACTAACCATTTCCTTGCTGATCAGAATTAAGCTCAAAGTAGCAACTGTCTTCACCATAGTCTATGTTCTGAGAAATAGGAACTGTCAAAAACTATGTATTTGATCTTTGATGATGTATCCAGTTGATACCCTGTAATGTCCTTATCTCTACTTTATCTTGTCCTAGTTTAGATTTATAATTTTAAGTCAGGAAAGTGTCATTTGTAACATCCTTCTAGCTAAGATGTATACGCTCACAAGCGCAGTGCTCTGAGTCTCATTTTTAAAACTTTTAATCCATAGATAAAACTCATAGATTTCTAAGTGTCTTTTTTTCCCTTCATATATGCAGGTGAGCTATCACAAGCTTTAGACCCTGTCTGTTTCACCCATATGGGACAGACAGAATAATGATCTCCCGAAGATGTCCATGCCTTAATTCCCAGAACATGGGAATACGTAAGGGCAATACAGACTCTGCAGAAGTACTTAAATTAAGGGTCTTGAGATGATGAGATTATCCTGGATTATATGGATGGGCCCAATAGAATCACAGGGGTCCCTGAAGATGGAAGAGTCAGAGTCAGAGAGAGATCTGGCGATGCTCCACTACAGGGTTTAAAGATGAAGGAAGGGGCCACGAGCCAAGGAGTGCAGGTGGCCCCTACAAACTGTAAAAGGCAAGAAAAGAGATCCTCTCCTAGACCACAAAGGAATGCAGCCCTGAGGACACCTTAATCACCTTAATTTTAGCCCAGGGAAAAGCATTTTGGACTTCTGCCCTCCGGAATTGTAAGATACAAAGTTTATGTTGTTTTAAACCATTACATTTGTAGTAATTCTTACAGTACCAATAGAAAACTAACACCAGGTACCTGGTCTGGACCTCTACCCCCTACACTTCGCACCTCTGTTCCTAACCCTGGGGGAGGCCCTGACCACTGCAGAAGAACCTCTACGCCTCTGAGGAGCAGAGTTCGCAAACCACTGCAAGAAACATCCTTTCTTCAGGATGAGATGTTTTCCTGGGGAGAAATTAGAAGGTTTGAAATTTCTTTTATTTCCTGAAGTATCACTTCAGGGGGAAAAAAAAAAAACAAAAACAGAAACAAATGATCCATCAACAGGAGAAAAAATAAATTAACCAAGATAAATTCATTCAGAGTGGAATACCATCCAATAAAAAATAAACTAAAAAAATGAACTAGAGGTGTACCTAGTAGCTTGGATAAATATAAAAGTATATTAGTCAAAAAGAAGCACTCTATGGAATGACGTACAACATAATGTCATCATACAAAGACTAAAAGATGAAAGATATCTGAAAAGATGAAAAAAAGTTGTATTTTTATAGATACGTAATAAAGGCAGAGAAAATAGAAACAGGAATCTCTGATAGTGGGAATTTCTCTGAAGTAAGTAAATACACGCAAGAGGGCTTAAATATATCTGTAGTGACCAATTTCTTAATAAAAGACCCAAAGCAAATACCTGATACTGTTGAGATTTATTAATGATTTACTATCTTACACTCTGTTCTTGTATGTTTTAAAATGTTTTACAATAAAATAATGTAAAAAAAGCTTTTTTTACTATATTTGAAACCCTATTTCAAAAGTATTAATACGCACATATTGATTCATGTGGAAAGAGAATTCTCAGTAGAGTCCATTTTTAAAAGCTTATTTAGTGATAGTGATAGAAACTTCTTAAACTTTAAAATGAGACTGGTATTTTATTTCAGGAAAAACTAGAAGAAAACAAAGGCAGTGGAATTTAATAACAGATACTATGACAAAATGAATTTAGTAACTGGTCACTTGCTATTAGGATAAAATAAAAAATGACAATACATCAAAACTTTCACTCAGTTTCAGAACACAAATTGATGGAAACATTTTAAGAACAAAAGAGACAAACACGTAAGGATCATATCAGGTCCCTATAAGCATCTCTGAAAGAAAATGTTAAATTTTGTTGAACAAAAAAAATAAAATCTAGGGCACCTGGGTGGCTCAGTCAGTTAAGTGTCTGCCTTTGGCTCATCATGATCCTGGGGTCCTGGGATCGAGCCATGCATCAGACTCCCTGCTCAGAGGTTAGCCTGTTTCTCCCTCTCCCTCTGCCTCTCTTCCTGGCTCGTGCTCTCTCTCTCTCAAATAAATAAATAAAATCTTAAAAAAAATAAAACCTATAACAAAAAAGTAAGCATGCCTGACATCAAAACTAGTTTGTGATTACAATCAATAATTTAATCATTAGGATTTTCATTCTTTCTAGAAATAAAGCTTTGATAGTCATGCTGCTGTATTTGGCTACTTAATAAATTTATTCTACTATCCAAACATACGAGGCTTTCTCAAAGAAAGGCATTTTCTGCTTCCTCTTCCTAACTGCTTCTGCTGACCTAGGACTACCCGGGGTAAGTAATGGCTTTCTGGAAACAATGTTTCATTCACAAGACTCACCACCCTACCTGGATTGGTATAAAGCTGGCTTTCCACGGTTTTGCCGATGCACTGCAGCTTCACGGCCTGCAGGGAGTCATCCACATGCACGATGGTCGGCAGACTGCCCAGGGTGTCCTGCACCAAGTTGGCCACTTCCCTGATATCAAAGAGCTTCAGGAGCTCTGAGTACACAGCTGGGAAGGAGCTCAGAAACACAGCCTTAAAAGGAAGAGATTTAAATCAACTCCCAAGATATAACCCGAGAAATTTGCTCTAAAATGTCAATGAGTTTAAGACTGTGATAAATAATTCTGAATGATAACAAAAATGAATGTAAAATCGTTCCCATACCTAAAGCTAAAAGGCTGCAGTTAAAAAAAAAAAAAAAAAAGTGTAGCAAAATAGAACCATGTTTTAAAATGTGCAATATAATAAAACTGAGAAATTCTGGAAAATCATTGACATTAGCAAAATGATTGGCAAAAAATTGCACAGAATCAGCAAAATGCAGCATGATCAAATGGAAAGAATGCTCAACCAAGACCTGGAATGCAGTCACTTATATTTCCTTTCTTTTTGGAGAAGGTTTCTGAAGTGCTCATCTAAATCTCATTTACCTTGAAGAAACCGAACCCATTGATTCCCGAAAGCACTGAAGTTGTGGTTAAAGAAAAAAACAAGACAAGGAACAAGAAGATCTAGATTATATGAACTACTAGCTTGGCCTCTAATCAACTCTGTGACCTTGGACAAGTCACTTTAGCCCCCTGGGTTTCAGTTTTATCACCTGTAAAATCAAAAGATCATTATAACAAACCTTTAGGTTGCTTTGAGGTTTATTGTAACCCAGAACTGCGTGTACTAAGAACAACATTCTTTATGTAAGTGAAGAAGCCTGATAACCATTTTTTAAGGGAAAAAAAAGATGTAGTATCAAATCCTAAGGGGCACACACTGGACTAGGACTGTACATCAAAACAAACCCGGTCTTCTAAATTCCACCAAAAGGAGGGCAACGGAAGGAAGCGTCGACCAGCCTCAAGTCTACCAAGTGGGGGAAGGAGGCACATGTTTCTGATATGCTAATATTCAAGTGCTAGCTGGCTTACCAATGAGATCTGACACCAGCAGAAAGTAGGTCGAGTCTACACGTGCTGATGATTCAAACACAGACTCAAATTCAAATTCATGGGTTTTGGCATTTATCTGTACAGCAGCAGCAGAAGTATCTAGAAGAGCCAAGACTCGTTTTTGATGCCAGAACCACCAAAATGCTTCAGGGGCTAAAGTCAACAGCTATGTTCTCCTTGACTCTTAAACATTATAGATTTACTTGGATGCATTTAAAATTAATAACTTGGTATTCCCTGTTAAAGACTATATTTATATAACCTTCATTTCACTCTGCAAAGAGCTGAGTCATACAGATGAAGTTAAAAAAATAAAATACAGTAAGATGAGCCCAGCTTTCTGATTACTGGAAAGTCAACTACGTTGATATTCCTCGGGAATCTTTTCATTAATCTGTCAATTCTTTAGTTATAGCTCTTTACTTCAAAAACGTATTTGAATGTGCCTGCAGTGAAGATACATGTATTAAAAAGGATAAAGCACCTTGTGATAAGAGCAGAATGATAGCTGGACCAAGATATCTAAACTAAGATTTTTATCGCAAATAACAAGAAAAGCCTATGTTTACTTTGACCTTCCTGATAGCCAAGACAAATAGAGAAAGAATTATTAGGAATTTGGGACAAGGTTTTGGACCTCAACTCCTTCCGACATCTCTCTTCTGCTCTTGGGGATGCAGGGTGGGGATCTGTCTATGGAGGGGGAAACCGAAAGGCACAGCTCCAACGGCTGAGTGAGCAGTCCTGTTGGGGCTGGGCTCCCAAAGACAGAGTCATTAGTGAGCTGGGGTTAGGGCAGGAGGACTAAATGAGCATCCCGATAGAACGAGGATGGCCTGATCTGTGGGGCACTATAAACTGATCCAACATGAAGGTTTTCTGGGATGGCTGCTCTGCCTCCAGAAGATAGAATTTGCCTTGAGTTGTAGCCCACAGTGAAAAAATGCAAAAGAGAGCAAGGAAATTGGGTTTTTGAATTTAAGGCAACCCCCACAGTAAGACTTGGACCAGTGGATATTCTTGGCTCTGGATGTGATTGGCAGAATTCTAAGATGACCCCCTAGACCTTTTTTCCCCAGTGTTGTTCCTGTGCCTAAGTTATGTTACATGGCAAAAGGGATTTTGCAGGTATAATGAAGGTTACTAATGAGCTGACCTTAAAATACGGAGATTATCCATATGGGCCTGACCTAATGACATGACCCTTTAAAGCAGAAGTTTTCTCTAGCTCATGGTGGGAGAACTCAGAGAGATTTGAAGCATGAGAAGGATCTGACATACCGTTGCTGGCTTTGAGGATGGAGAGACCACATACCAAGGAATGTGAATGGGCTCTAGGAGCTGAGAACACCCCTCTTCTCCTCCAATCCCTTGCTGATAACCAGCAAGGGAATGAGAATCTCAGTCTTATGAACACTTGGGAGATTCTGAAAGTGAATTCTTCCCCAGAACCTCCAAATAAGCCATCAAGGCCAACACCTTGATTTTGGCTGTAGGAGACCTTAAGCAAAAAATCCAGTCAACCTTTCTTATCTACAGAACTGTGAACTAATAAATGGATGTTACTGAAAGCCATTAAGCACATGGTTATTTGTTACACAGCAACAGAAAGGTCATATGCAGGGTCAATCAGATTAGTAACGCCTTCCTTCTTAGAAAAGAGAACTATGAGGGTGTGGGGTCAAAAGGGAACTTGGAATAAAAAAAGGTCTAGAGTATTCCCTTTTCTCCCAAAACACAGAGGGACAAAGTCCTCTTTGCTTAGTAAAGAAAACTAACCACTTCGTCATCTTCTATGAATTCTCATAGCACCAACCTAAAAGAAAATGATCACATCACGTGGGCCCATGTCATCTCAGGGCAACTACTAAGATGCAGTGGAAACATAACTAAGGAAAAAGAATATTTCTCTAACTTTATAGAAGGGAAAAAAATCTCTTGAGTCCCTAGGAAGGCATGTCATTGAGAAACCATGACTTAAATTTACCCTTAAAAGTAAGAGAATATTTTTCAGATGTGATAGGTAAGTTTTGTCCCTATAACCGGTAAAGGTTTATGATAAAAAAAAAATCTCAATTAAATAGCTTTTATAAAAGTAGTGAGTTTCTGAGAACTTTGATCTAAAGGAATACATGATTAGCTTGTTGGATTATCCTTTTCAAGTATCAACTGCTGAAAGTAGGGTTTGGCTAGTGGGCAATTTGACTTTGAGGTATCTGGCAAGTTCCTCAAGCACAGGGATTGTGCCATTAGCAATAGAGGACAAAATGCCGTTAAAAGAGCCTGAATTGTATCCTTGCCCACATGTAAAATTGGCCCACTTATGTAAAGAAGAGATTAATAAGCCTGGTGATGGGTATTAAAGAGGGCACGTTCTGCATGGAGCACTGGGTGTTATATGCAAACAATGAATCATGGAACACTACATCAAAAACTAATGATGTAATGTATGGTGATTAACATAACATAATAAAATTAAATTTAAAAAAAAAAGAAAGAATAGCCCCCAAAAGTCAGAAAAAGCACAGTACTATTATTGGAGGGTTGGTACATTTCTGGTGTTTTACCATTATATGTAATACCTTCCAAATGTCAAATGGCACCAAATTATAATGTTACTCTAAAGGGATCTAGTTAGTTTTGTCTTCTAATCTCCCATTTTTCTCCCTCTAATTCTCAGTGATTATAAATCTCTAGTCTCCAGGGGATGGCAGCAAAGAGGCTGCTTCTCCATCTGATAGGTTTTTAACCAAGTCATTCGAACTAAAAGTGTATCAGAAGGATTAAGAAAATGTAAAGTAAGGTATTGAGAATGACTGCTCAGAACACATTCAAGGCCGTGCTACTTGGAAAGGGGATAAACCCCGCTCTTAAACAGAACCCGTGGAGCCACTCCAGGTAATAGCATTTGGCAACAGCTGCTCAGCATTGGTCATGTAAGATCAGTCCCAGGACTATTAGGGTCAAGTTAAATAAAACAAAACAACATGCAGTTTAGCCAAATCCAATACAATGAGTCTCAAGCTGACAGATTAAAATGCAGTGCAAGGCTTGGGGTAAACAACAGAAACAAGTCAGCTCCAGTGAACTTCCTTCCCCGAGGCTGATGCTGACGGCGTGTCTACTCATCAGCGTGTGTTTTGGGAACCGAAATCCAGGCTGCTGCAGACCAACAGCCTCCGCACGAAGAGTGAGAACAGTCGGAGGAAAGGCAACCAAACTTCTGCTCTGCTGGTGCTCAGAAGCTAGGGGACCTTTTAAAAGTCTGCCAAGTTGCTTACGCTCCATGTATCAACTGGAGCAATGGATTTCTCGTGGAGAAAACATTCGGTTCCGCTGCTATGTAAACACAAATAAACTGGACTCATTTTTGCTCTACCGAGCAGAGATGAGAAAACATTACCTGTGATTGAGATAACGCTCCTGACCCTTTGCTCTCTTGAGAAAGGAAGAAACGGACCGACATAAGGAGCTCCTGAATGCAGCAGCGAAATTCCTCTTCATTTTGCCCCCCAGTGGCGAGGGAAAAGAGCCTTCGAGATTGCACTATATACTTAAAAATATATTCTTGTGCCTTAAAACGAAATGTTTTAAAAGTTAGTCTCAAAGGAAACCGAGAGTATTTAACAATGACATGGCATAAAAACCACGGGACAACATTAGAATTTTAAATTATTGATTAAACGCTAAGACCCCCAATGAGATTTTCGAACAGTATTTACTTGTGGGGGAAGAGCCATTTTTCTCTGATGCTAATGAGAGAAAATGTATAGCTAATTTGAAAATTCTTTGTAATTCTCAAGAAGTATGAACCTGAAATGCTTTTGATCCTCAGGTGGTTTTTAAAATTTAGTTAACAGAGAGATACTGGTCTGTTTCTCAAAAATTATTGTGCTTTGCTGGCAGGTACTCTTTCCACTTAGCATTTTACCTTCCATCAGACCAACGTGATAAATTTATAATTAGGAAACCACTTGCTTTTAAAAGTGCATACCTGTCTACTTTTACCTACTGACATCAAATAGAGTGGCACTCAATGAGAGGACATGAGAGGACTCTCAGAGCAACTACTGGACAATTCCTTTAAGGACCTGTGTTCTTCATGAACATGTTTGCAAGTAAAGCGTTAGCATCTCCACCGAGCACCGAGGGTCCAGACACGTGGGCAGCTTTAAACCACAAGGCCCAGTAAAACCTCAGGTCTCCTCACTGTGACCCCTGCCGAGCCACCCTATACTCTCTCAAAATTTCAGACAAGTTGTTCTCAAACGGCCTCTGTCAGGGTGTTGGAAGCAAGAGCCAGGAACTTCCAGGCTTAACTGCTTCTCTGTGGTCTTCTGTCCTAAGACCTCCCTCCTGCCAACCCTAGACTTCACTCCAAGGGTTCTGGAGCTCAGAGGTATAAGGATTCAATCCCAAGCAGTTCCAGTGGGTGAGCCTGGCAAAGTTTCTTTCACATTTCATCAGCTCTGGAGGAGCATAAACTGATTAAGATCCTTGAATTGGAATGCCAGTAATATATCATCACCAATTATTGTCCATGTAGAGGAAAGCAGTTAGTTTAGGCATCATCACACAACAGTTCTGTTAGACGACGTTATCTGCTATCGCCAGTGTGTCATTACCTTCAACACCTCCTGGATGTGTTCTTGCCGTTCCGCTTCCGTTATCCTGTCCACATACCACTTGAGAACTTTGATGAGATCTCTGAAACACAGGGGAAAATATACAGAAGGTGGACTTGGTCGAGTTCTCAGTTAAAAGCCAACAAATCCAACATTTTTATCACGAGGAGCCTTCTTTCCCCATCAGTCCTCACCGTTTTCTGTCAGACGGCTTAATCTGATGATATTAGGAATGTGCACAGCAACATCACTACCTCTCTTTGACGCTTCCTCCCATTGAGATTCTCCTCAATACGGACACATCCCATTGACCCTGCTGTTTCTGGCAAAGCTTCCCAATGGGCAAACACAAATACCAGAGAAAAGGACTCTGGCCAAGAAAGGGCCTGGAAGTCTGACCGCATGGTCCATCTTGGACAACTGATAATTGGGATTTCTTCCCCAGTGACCATGTAAACAAGCTGGATGAAATATTCAGTTGGAGGCCATAGGAGGGTGTGGGGAAGGATAAGGCAACAACACCCTACTTCAAATCACACGCCCATGGATTGATCTAGCCAATTCTCTGACCTATGAGAAGAACAAGGCTTATCATCAGAGTGCCTTAGTGAGGGAATTTCCAAAACAGCCAAGTTTGTTTTTTTTCTTTTTTAAGGAACAAAATTTGAATTAAAAAAAAACAACAATAATTCTCAAGATTGCAGTCTTGCTACCTTTACCTTTGTTTTGTTCTTGGTTTCTGGGAAACAGAGCAATTTTTAAAAAATGCTCCTCTTTTCTCTCAGTCAGGGAAGAACACATGGATGTGGTACAAGGCAGGTGCTGCCTGGAGTGTTATTTTGAAGATAAAGGTCAGTGAGTTTCTGACCACCCATAGCCCAATAAGATTCCATAGGCCTTATCTGTCTTGTTAGGAATGATTATCCTGCTCTCCTGGCCAACATAAACTGTTAGAAATTACACCCTTCCTCTCCAGCTTCCACTGATAATTTCAGTCACAAGCGGTGATATGTTACCAGGGCCCCAAATGTTAGGCCGAGTGGCAGAGTCGGGCCAATGTTTCATACTATCCCCGATATTACATTTCACCCTCTGTAAAAATCATGTTGACACACCATTCATTGAAATGTTGGAGTATTAAATCTTCACATGCCTTGAGAAGGAATACCCAAGGTAATAGGATCAAATGCTTATTTGATTACTTATCTTTTATATATCACATGATGGGGAAAAAGGGGCAAAAACACAATTCCATCTTTTTTTTTTTTTAAAGACCAATATTCTTTTTTTTTTTTTTTAAGATTTTATTTATTTATTTGAGACAGAGAGAATGAGAGAGAGAGAGAGCACATGAGAGGGGGGAGAGTCAGAGGGAGAAGCAGACTCCCTGCTGAGCAGGGAGCCCAATGTGGGACTCGATTCCGGGACTCCAGGATCATGACCTGAGCCAAAGGCAGTCGCTTAACCAACTGAGCCACCCAGGTGCCCCAATTCCATCTCTTTTTAACACTCTTCTGGGAATGATTGTGCGTGTACATGGCCTTCGTGCTTAAGGTATCAGGTAAAAACATGGTCAGAATAGCAACGGCAGTGTTAGAATGGGGAGAAAGAACTTTGGGGAACATTCCAGGGCTGTATTTAAGTCAGGGCCAAAGACCGGGAAGATGTTATACATAGCACAGAAAGAGAGAAGCTGTTGCCTTCTGGGAAGTATCAACTAGGCCGCAGGGAGGCAGGTAAGAGCTACAGCTTGTCATTATTCATTCACTTTAGCCTTGCCTGCAGAATCTGAGCTAATAGGAAGGGATGAGCAGTGAAAATGGCAGCTCCTATCAAAGGGTCGAGTCCATGGCTGACCTGCTTAATGTCTTCACATGAATCAGCATGCATTAGGCAGGCAGTAGGGACTCAGTAAATATTAACAGATAAATGAATGAAGGAATTTAAAAAGATAGGATGACAAAGGCTGTTTTCCCTTCACATCTCTTTCTTAAAGACTTCTAGAATCAGCGAGGAATGTGGTGGTTAAATGGGGTTTTTGGCAGGCAGACTGAAATAACCAGGCATTTCAGACGAAAGAATATCACATGAAGTAGAGACAAGAAGAAAACACTTTATATTTTAGGTTTTAGGAATAGAATTCAGAAAGGTTTTTTTTTTTGGTCCTTTTAATCACAGTAAGTTGCAGCCATTAAAAAAAGATGTGTGAGAAAGGAAGAGACTGACTCAAGAGACACTTCAGATGTTGTGGTTCATTTCTTCCTACACTCCCTTTTAAATTTTCCTATATTGCTGGTTCTGCGTGGAAAAGCTCAAAAGGAATTGCTTCTAAACCAATTATAAGATAAAGGCCTTACCTGTATGCAAGTGCCCCAGCAAAGTGACTCTCAATATAAGTGTCCATTACAGGTTTAAAATGATGGAATTTGCTATCTTGCAGCAAATTTATTATGTGAACCTAAAACGAAAATTGAGCTTTATAAAAACCGAATGCAAATTAAGATTTTTTTTTTTTTTGGTTCTTTTTAAGTGATTCTTATGCTATTAAGTGCACATCTCAGAAAGGGCCTTATGAAAGTCATGACCAAGAGACAAAATTGTTAGGATACAATTAAAGTGAATTTAAACTCACCAAAGAATCAAATACTTTAGATCCATATTTTTGGGAATTTTCATCTAAAATTCCAAATAAAGTATCCAGCGTATCTTGCAGAAACTGTTAGATAAAGAAGTAAATTAATAAAAACAGTATCATCTGTCCTTCCTCTCCAAATACTCTTTATTCCATGAATTTCCAAGAGAGGGATAACAAAATAGCATATACCTTTACTATCTCTGAGCCATCGATTTCTTTTATTTTAGAAAGACAGCCTGTGATCTTGTCTGGGTGGGTTCTCCATTTCAAGAGATCAAGCATATCACCTTTCCAAACAGAAAAGGAAGATTAATTGCCTTAGCAGAGAATAATCCCTCACATGAAAGTGTTCCACCGATAAAAGCTAGATTCTTACACATGTTGCCTACCCTCCTGGTCATCCAAGTTTCAGGCTCCCCCAGACTATGACTAGCTCTCTAAGATGGCATTTATTACCATGTATTCTAATTATTTCTCCCTTCCCAATGCTCTTGATTTACAAACTCCTACTTATCCTTCAGTTCCCAGATTAGCTGTTGCTTTATCCAGGAAGTCTTTCCCGAAATGTCCATACTGAGCTCACTGTCTCTGCTTTGTGCTCTCACCTCACAGTGGCGTTGACCTCACGATTTCAGTTGTTTATTTGTCTTTGCCCTTACTAGGTTGTAAACTCCAAGAAAAAAAAAGCCACCATGCCGAATTTGGCCCTATGGTATCCCAGCAAGGGTACAGAGCATGCACACAGCAGGCAGCTGATAAATAGTTGTTGAATCCTCTTCTGCCAAAGTGGGAGTTTCTTGAGGGTCAGAAACCTGCTTTATTCACATCTGTGCCCCCAACACACAGCACTCTGCCTAGCAACCAATTCTATCTGGCAATGAAGGTCTTCTTGACAACGTGACCCAAAGCTGGCAGGACTAGAAGGTCCCTGCACAAGGATGACAAGTCTGGTCAACTGCTGGATCATCTAGTGAGCCCGTGGACCTGAGAGGGCCAGTTCCTGGACGCCATGGTCATCATCCATCATAACAGATTCTGGGCAGGTGCAGGGCCCAGGTCTTCAATTTCCTCCCCTTCCAAAATTGACAAGACATGGGCCTGAGTCTAACAGGGTCCTCTGAGAACCTCTTCACCTGGCGAGGGAGAAAATCCTTCCCTCAGCTTTCCTGGGCAGAAGTTAGAAAGGCTCCTGAACATGGTGGCCAGCTTCACTAGGCGCCAGAGGGAGCAGGAGGACAAGCGTGTCTGGAAGGCAATGAAAGCAGGTAAGAACTGACAAGGCTTGTGTATTCAGGAAGCACACAGGGCAAGGGAACCTGGCAGGGCTGGCTTCCCAGGGCTCGGTGGGGTTGAAAGACTAGAACAGCCAAGAAAGAAGCCAGGAAGGATTTTTCAGGCTTAACAGTGTGAAGTCCACTTGAAGGCACTCGTTTCAGGAGAAACCCAAACAGGACTTGCTGAGAGACAGAAAGACCAGCATGGAATCAAAACCCAGGAGAAAACAAAAACAAGAAATCAAGGAAGAAGTAGTTGTGATGAAAAAGAAAGATGATGCAGTGAAGAGAGATGAGAAAAAGTGTATCTTCAGAGGAAAGAGAAGCAACCTTCACCAAAGCCAGATTCAAGAGAAAAGCATCACAAAGGACTTAAAAGTGAGAAATTTAGTATTAAATAGAAATACTTATCTACATCAAACAGGGATAAGAGGACGGTTTAGAATTAGAAAAATGAAGGAATTTTAAAAATAATGACTGTGAAAAAGAAATTTATGGTATTTTCATAGAGGAAAAACCTGAAAATGTTTAATATTCATGTCTAACTCAGACATCCTAGATGTACGATTGGGACCTTTTTAAAAAGTATTGATTCTATTTAGAATAGGAGGTATTTCCAGAGGGAGACGTCGCCAGAGGGAGCACCGCATTCTTCTCCCGTCTGTTTGCTGCCTCCCTCCCACCGACTTCCTAACTTCCTGCATCCAACTGCAGGATGCCTTTCTGCCCAGGCATCTTCTCTTACAGTTCCGCAACGCATGACCCCTGTCACTCACTCTTCACTGCCCACTCCACCTCCGTTCCAGCTCCCCCTCCATCTCCCTCCTCTCTTGCCTGCCCCTCAGAACAAGGCGGTTGCAGGGGCACCCAGGGCACAGCCCAGCGTGAGGAGTGTGTGCGGAGGAAGGAGGGGGCTATGACCTATTGCTGAAAATGCGAATATACTGTATGTTTGAACATACCAAGAGCTAGGAAATAGGTGGATGACATAATCCCTACTCCTTTTTTTTTTCATTTTAAATCACACTCTCAGGAAGAGACTGAATGAACGAACCACTCATTATTTTGGGGGGGAAGGGGATGCGGGGAAGTCGGCAACTTTACAATTAACTGTTAGGCTAAATTTAAGCACTGTTTTTATTTTTAAACTTTTTAAAAAGTTGTGTTTAACAGCCCAAGGAAGAAAACAAATAAGTAAAATAATTTCCTCCCTGACCCCTACTTTTAAGAAGCTTAAAATATCTCCTTGGTCTGGCAGTCACAGATGTCAGCAGGATGCTCTGGCCTTGGTACGCTAGCCCTGAACAACACTGGAGTACAGAATATGTGCAGAGAGACACACTTTAGGGATCGTGAAATGCAAATCTGCTATAAGAAACTATTCCTAGAGACCGTATCACTTGCTAAATGCCCAATTGTAATGGAAATGGGATCTGCATATTTTCCAATTTGAGTAAAATGAATACAAAGCAATTTAATTCCAATTTGGAACTGGATTACTTCTACACAGAAATGTGTGTCTAGCATGTAAATTTCAGAAAGATCAACTAACTTCCTTCCTCCTTCCCATCTCTTTGAAACACAGGATTTCCTGGTTCATTTTGAGCTGTGTTACACTGACAAGGTTAATCAAAGTCAAATGATAATTAAGAACTTATCAGTGTCCAAAAATGAGCCAAGCATTGCCCTCCATATAGTGAGATGTTTAATATAATGATTTCTGAATAGGTTTATTTACCCATATCTACCTGAAAATGTCCTCTGCTTTTACAAAGTAGCAACTTTTAATTTTTAGGATTTGGTTCTGTTTTACATTCACAATTCTGTTTAATGTCCTAAACCTGAGAACAAGAACAAGTTAAGTCTGCAGGGCCCAATACTTTGATGGCAGATAAGCTATTGCTAGGATTATCTGTGTGGTTGGCAGAATAGTGGCCCCACAGAGGTCGATGTCCTAATCTCTGGTACCTGTGAATATGTTTACCTTTTATGACAAGAGATTTCACAGATGTGATTAAGTGAAAGGTCTTAAAATAGGGGCGACTATCATGGCATATCTAGTGGACCCAATGTAATCACAAGGATCCTTAAGAGATAGAAGATGGTCAGAGTCATGACCATGTCCAGATGCTATGCTGCAGGCTCTGAAGACGGAGAAGGGGCCATGAGAAATGCAGGTGGCCCCTGGAAGCTAAAAAAGGTAAGCAAAAGGATTCTTCCCTAGAGGTTCCAGGAGAAATGCAGTTCTGCTGACACCTTGATTTTAGTCCAATGAAAAGGATCTCAGGTTTCTGACCTCCCGAATTGTTCAATGATAAATGTTTGCTGTTTTAAGCCAGTAAGTTTACAGTAATTATTCCTACAGTGAGAGGTAACTAATACAACCTGAAATTATTCTACCAGAGGCTATTAGTTAAATGTGAACCCTAGGCTCTATGACATACATACAACTAATCCACATAGGATAAATACAATTTCTGTCTAAGGGAGTCAACAGCAGGTTGATTTTCTTATCTTCATAATCTCTATAGGGTAGACTGGCACCATAAAAAACACCAGAGGTTTGGTAAAAGCTTTATGAACCTTATAGAGTTCTGTCATTGAAGTTTTTATCTAAGTAAAATCATTCATCACTGAATACGGATAAACTCTTGATGTTTCTTAACTTGGTGATGGCTACCTTCAAACAAATTTACTAAAAATATGCAGTTGATTTTGAAAAATATTTCTCCAAAAATACTTTTGGAAGGGAAAAACAAACCTAATACAAATGTGAAAGGATCATTTGCCAAAGTCCTACATAGATACGGCAGCACGGCAAGAGGAACTGAAAGGTATCTTAAAAGAGGTCAATACTGTAGTGTGACATTTTACATCTTTTCTGAGGCCATGTTCTAAGAGAAGAAATACTTTTCCTACTACAAATGCTGTTCTGTGACAGAGAAGAAAGAACTAATAGCGCTTACCGATGTTCAGGCACAGGAACACTTTATGAGATTCAATACCTTAGATTCTCCTCAACATAATGAATCTGACTTATTAATATGGCATTCAGAATACTAGCCAGAAGCCTTATATGGCAACCATGAAGAACTCAAAAATGTTTCATTTCCTTCCTTCATTACAGATCATGTTTTCATGACAATTTTCCAAGGAGAAGAACTTGTTTTATTAATCATAACTTGCTAAACAATCACTGACATAAAAAGTATGGTAGAATAGAAAAGGAATATCCATCTAATTAAACAAAAAAACAGCCTTTATTCCAAAGCCTGCAATTAGCACTGTTTATGGGCTATAAAACAAGAGAGATTAAGGTGGTGGTGTTCTTTGTCTCTTCCTCTCTTCTTTTTAAAAAGCAGCTGGTTTTGCAGCATTGTGTACTGGGTTTCAATACTGGGATAATTCTGAAGTCTTTAAATTACATGCATTAATAGGCCATTGGGTCGCAAAGGTTTCCATTTTACTGGAGATCACAGATGGAAGCATCAGCAGTTTTTCTAGTGCAAAGTTCTTAAATAGAACACTGGTGTTTATTAAACATGTCTACCAAAATTCACAGGAGTGCGTAAATACAAGAGCTTTCAAATAAAACAGCATTATACATTACCATTCTGTGTGAGTTTTGTGGAACAGAGAAAAGATGTTATCCAAAAAGACTCCTTTGTGGCCTTGATAGCTTGATGATTATTTCCAAGGAGAATGCCCTTGGAAAAAGGAAGTTTGAGGTAGCGGGTAGTATCCTGAAGATTTGTGTTTTCTTCACACTGTTAAAAATATTAAAAACAACATAAAAAAGGGAGGGATAAGAGACCTCATGGAAATTATTAAGCACAATTTCCATTTCTACTGTTTATGAACTGGGAAACATTCCACACGGAATTACAAATAGAATTGGCTTTTAAATAAGATACAGCAAAAAGAGAGAGAAGGAATTAAGCACGGATTTTGGGCTCAGACCAATTTGGGTTCAAATCCCAGTTCTGCTCCTTCTCCCAGGAGTAACTCTATCACGTTATCTCGCCACTCCAGATCACCATTTCTATCTTTAAAACCTTGGTGTGTTGTCATAAGAATTAGGTTCCATAAAGCCTTTTGCACAGTGCATGATACACAGGAAGTACTCAGAAAAATCATATTTGTAGTGACCACAGCATTTAAAAAAAATGCTTCAATTCTTCCAACATCTCATCTGAGGCTGCTATTGAACAGCTCCTTGCTTTGAAAATTGGTAATTAAAGGAAACTGTTTTTCAGGGTCCTCTAAGAGTCCTACCATGTGAGAAAAATCCTACTTCACATAAGACACCAGGTAAGAAATGTAAAAGGAATTACGGATTTAGAAAATATAGTTTCATATCCCTAAAGTAATTCTTTAGTCAAAGGTTGTCACTTAATGCTAAAATCGGCAGGAAAACTGTTGGATAAAGAATTGGACATTTGGGGTGGCTGGCTGGCTTAGTTGGTAGAGCATGTGACACTTGATCTCAGGGTCATGAGTTCAAGCTCCACGTTGGGCGTAAAGCTTACTTGGAAAAAAAAAAAAGAATTGGACATTCCTACAACGCCAATGTACCAACACACAGATTACTTCCCAGTGGCAGGAGGACAAATATAACCACACGCATGGTGGGGGTGGGGGGATCAGGTTGTCACTACATTGATACAGGACCATGCAAAGATACATATTATCATCTATAGTGCATTCTTACTACAGATGTTGAACCTGAATCTACCACAACTACAGCTTTCACTTCCACTTCATAGTCAATACAATGAACAGAACAACATGCTGAACAATACTATAGGGAAGTGACCAGAAAAACTCCGAAGGCAGCACTTTCTGCAGGATGCCTGGCTTTGTCTCTTCAAGTCCAATGTTGTAAGAAAAAAGGATTGTTCTAGATTAACCAACACTTAAGCCAAACGCGACATGTGGTCCCAGATTCGGATCAACCTGATGAAAAGGATTTTTTTTTAATTTATATATTGACTTTAGTTCTAGATGAAATTAAAAAAAAATAGTGATTAGAAAATCATTAACTGAAAAGGTAGGTTACAAAACATAAATATTATGAAGCAACTAAGATGTCCTTCAGTAGGTAATGTAATACACCCAGACAATGGAATACTATTCAGCACTAAAAAGAAATGAGCTATGGAGTCATGAAAAGACATACAGAAACCTTAAATGCATACTACTAAGTGAAAGAAGTCAATCTGAGAAGGCTGCATGCTGTATGATTCCAACTATATGACATTCTGGAAAAGGCAAAACTATGGAGACAGTAAAAAGATGAATGGTTGCTAGAGGCCAGTGGGGCAGGGATGAATAGGCAGAGCACAGAGGATTTTTAGGGCAGTATGATATTATAATGGCTATATGTCATTATTCATTTGTCCGAACCCACAGGATGTACTATACCAAGAGTGATTCTTAACGTAAAAACTACGGACTGTGGGTGATTATGGTATGTCAATGTAGGTTCATCCTTGGTTTAAAAAAAAAAAAAAGTACCATTCTGGTGAGTGAGGTTGATAATGGGAGAGGCTATTCATGTGAGCAGGGGGGCAAATGAGAAATCTATATCCTCCTCTCAATTTATTAGGTTTATTATAAACCTAAAACTGCTCTATAATATCATTTGGGTAAAAAACCCACGCAAAAAAATATCTAGAAGGATATACGTTAGAGGATTAATAGTTAAAATCACCCAGGTAATGAGAGTATTATGTTTTTATTATGAATTATCTCTATACTTCTTTGTAATGATAAAAGTGATTTTAAATTACAATTCTGAAAAAAAATATTTTAACAGATACAGAACTGGTATAACTTAGGTTATTTTGAGTGTAAGTTTTAAAACTCACATGAACTTTATTTCCTTAAACATCTTCAAGGCTAGTGTCTTGGTAACAGGCAGGAGTTTAAGCACAGAATCCCTTTGGCATTCTAGAGTACTATGTGTGATTCATAAAATACTTTTTAATTTTAAATAATAAATCTTTAGGAAAGACCTAACAAGTTTAAAGAAACAGAATCAGACTACGGCAAGATGTTCTTACTAGCACACCTGCCCAGTAACAGGAGTACCTATAAACACAATAAACAGCCTCTATAATTCTCTTCTAGCGTTACAACTCCAAATGCTTTCTTTTATTATTGGGAGATATTTCATGGAGACAGCAGAGTGCATGAAACACACATATAGGGTTTAGAGAATCATTACAAAGTGAACACTTCAAATGCCTTCTTCAGAAAAAGTGCTTAGGCAAAGTAATATTCAGGAACCCTTGACTGCCATCCCCTCCCGTCTTGTTCTTGGTGTCAGGGCTAGGACCACAACGAGTCACAGCACCCCGCGCTGCCCCCATTTCCTACCTGGATCTGGTCTGTGGGGTCAGGAACACGCTCTGGTCCGCCGGCCCTTGCCTGTCTTGTGCTCCATCTGTCTAACCACCACTTACTGTGACTGAGGTCTTGTGCAAACACAATGGACATGCCGTCCAGCTATTTCTAAGCCTTCTCCTCAGGAGCTGGAGCTGGCCCTAGCATGCTGTGCTCCATCTGTTCACAGAAATTCTGCTCCTATAGATAGAGCTCTTATTCCCTCACCCATCAAATAATGGCCTAGTTCATGAGCCCTTTTGGCACCTTCCTTAGCATTTCTGCTTGCTATGCTCATGTAGCTCCCCTGGTAGTCAGGGACTGACCACTTCTGTGATTGAAGATATGGTGGCCGTGTCACGTCCTTAGGGAGCGCTGTGATTAGAAGACCTGGCTGCCTTCTCCTGGGCCGATCACTGTGGCCAGATGAGCACCACCAGCCCTGGTTCACCTCACCTCTCCTCCAGCCTGGGAGCGTCAACACCTCAGCATCTGAGTGTGTGAGAGGTGTGACACCTTGACAATTCTTTTTTTTTTTTTTTTACATTTTAAAAAATTTTATTATGTTATGTTAATCACCATACATCATTAGTTTTTGACATAGTGTTCCATGATTCATTGGACACCTTGACAATTCTTACAGCTCTAGTCTATCCCTCTCAGTCAAGTATAAATATAACCATTAACATAAATATTAGGACACAAAAGTTATTTCAAGATCTTCTGCCAAGAATACTGGGTGTGTATGCGTGTGTGGGTGTGTGCGTGTGTTTGCGTGTATTCGTAGAGGAAGAGCAGGTGAAGAGAATTCTCCCCATCAATTCAGAAAAGAAAAGCACATAATGACTCTTGGGTCTCTATGAAACTTTTGATGATATAACATTTGCCAGGAGTTCAACACTGATTTTTTTTTTGTCCAGTAGCAGTCAAAGGAGATAATGCTAGGTATGGGGTCAGAGTTGGAGGTTTTAATCTATTTCTGAAGAGCTGAAGTGGCCTCCAGAAATTGTACAGAGCAATCTCACAGCATATCTTTTGTTGTCCCCTGAGGTTGTTAGCGTGCATCCTTTGACACATCATACAAACACTGGAGACTTGAAAAGCAATCCAAGCAATTACCATTTATGATGGTTTACTACATGCCAGGCACTGCAAACCACTTTATGTGCATTTTCTTATTCTCATAACAACCCCATGAAGCAGGACACTGTAAGCTGAGGAGCCATGTGACATGTTCGACGTCACATTATCGGTAAGTGTCAGAGTCGGGATTTGAACCCAAGTTTGTGTTCAAAACTACTAGGGAACAGTGCCTCCTTCAAATGTTGTTTTCACCAAGTTTTGAGTTTTGCTATAATGAAGTAAACATTTATTGCTTTACAGGTAACATACTGAATGGTGGGTAAGGCTAAGAAAGACCAAAAAGTTCAGTTTTCAAAAAAAGGGTGTGTTTGTGGGAGACACCCTGGGAGGCAGCTCAGAGTGGTCTGTGGAGCTGAAATGGCTATGTCAAATACACCTATGAGCCCTACAGCGAGATGGGTAGGTTCTATTCTGAAACCACACACGGAGCGAGGAGGATCATGTGACATGGAGGCAATGGGGAGCAAGACCAGGTAGGAACAGATAAGGCATGACACAGGAGCTTGGGGACACAACAGGTGAGTTAGGGATCATCTGCCAATTCATCTGATGAAAGAGAATCAACTGTAGAGAAACTGGGTTGGGGAGCAGTGAAGAAGAGAAATGGCGTTCCAGAAGGGAGCCCTCTAGGGCAGGGGCAGGTATCAGCAAGAGCTGAAGCCAAGAAGGTTCTCCAGCCTTTTATGAGGAAATGCACGGTTGATTAGCAAACGCCAGGCAGTGAGGAAGAAAGAGTCACCAGTAAATTCCTCAAGCGTTCTTCAGCCAGGTGGGAGAAGGGACTGTGCTGGGAGTACAATTCCGAGCCAGGGTATGGAGTGGAGAAACCAAACAGAAGGGAACAAACCCGCTCCCCCACTCTGAGGCTAAGAGTCCATTAAGTCCTTTCACAGAAAGGAAGCTGGAAAAGGATGGTGCGGCACTGCCCATGCGTTAACCAGAAATCCTGGTACAAAAGAGCCGTGGCTGAGTGTCTGCAAGCCTGGAAGTCTGAGACTGACCACCGTGACCCTACAGCCTTCCATGAAGCTCTAGTGCATACAGGTGAGAAGGCGTCTTGTCACCACAGTCAGATCCAGTTACACCCCTCAACGAGAGGAGTGGTTAAATACGAATCACTTGCTTTCCGGGGATACTCGCACAACTGTTTTGGTTTGGGTATAAGGACAACTTTTTTCATCACATCCGGTGCAGACATGGAACAAGGCAGTGAGGACATGAGAATAATAAGACACTG